CTCTTCACGAATATGATGATACATTCTTGGCTCAAACCGTAATGGAGGACACTACGATTATCTGCGCTCTGCTAAGGCTGGACCTAGAAGATAATCGTAGTGTCTCCATTAGCGCCAGCGCCAAGAATGAATGTCATATTCGTAATCAGGATGTTAATGTAACCCATGTACACAGTTTTCAGTGAATTTGATAATCTAGGCACTTTATAAATGAGCTCGCAGCAACAACTGACCGCGTCCAAACCACATCAGCCCTGATGAGCCAAGGTTTACCGACGACAGAGGGAGTCGAGAAACTAAAAACTATGACACTATTTATACTTTACTGCAACATTCATCCGGAATCAGGCCACTTTTTGCCGACCGACATTTCTCCAGCAGACCTGGCTAAAAATTGTCCCCAGAGGTAGTTTGACCTCCTAAACATGGATATCACATCCGCTCGGCCCGAACCGCTTGAAGTCCGCGTCACAAGCCCCGGGGCCGACATGTCCTAAATCACCAACTTGGGTTTGGGGTAGTTTGACCTCCCAAACACGAATACTACACGTTTGGCCCGAAACCGTTCACCATCCGCGGAAGGTGCCGATGCCAAGATCAGCAAACTAGTTCTCTAGATCATCAAAACTCTGATAACTTGTCCATGATACCCTGAATCATTTCAGGAGCAACTTACTCACCCCATAGGTCTAATCACATCGGAATTTCCACAGTCACAAGCTCCTCCTTCTCGAGAGAAAAATCTAGTGAAATCGTGTCCCTCGTGATTGGCAGCTTGAAAACACGAAGCGCATAAAGACATACCTGAAAAAGACTTCAAAAATCATGTGAAGAAGAAATTGCACAAATTTTGGTTTGAACCTGATATTCAAAAAATTAAATTGACTTACAAGGTGTTAGGGCGCAGGTATTACATCGGTAGGCAACGGAGTCGTTTTCCCATATCGTGTTGCATTTCAAGGATACGTCCAATTCATTCACTTTAAAATAAGGAACGTCAATCAAAACGAGAATGGAAAAGGTTAAAGTTGGTTCAATAAGTACTTGCAGATTTGAAGGTCTCGTATGTTTCCCCCTGAGCGAGTAGAATCCGTAATTTAGAATATAAAGCTTCTGAACGTATTGATGATAAGGTAATCAACTTGTCGAGGAACCGATTCAAGCGTAATGCCACCTTCCTGAAGAAAATGATTTCGGCGCAACGATAACTCAAGAACTGTTACAAGATACATTAAATAAAAAACATACCAAACTTGTGGATCAATGTTCTTGCCATTGGCTGGACTGATATACAGAGGCTGATCAGAGGTCTTTAAGAAATCTGCTTGTGATTTACAATATAGAACCGCATCCTTAACTCTTTTGTCGTCCTAAATTATGCTTTATGTCGCACTAGAGAAGCCACTCGTTCATTTGAAGAAGTCTGTGATAAGTTCTTAGCACGTCTTCCACTCATTATTGTCCCTTTCTTCAAAATTTAGACTAGGTTGCGAGCGAAATCAACCTTCTGGAGAGAATTTGGCCGAAATTTTGTCAACGGTGGTAGGCTGACCCCTTGAACACAAAATCTCACTCATTCAAAACGAAAGTACCTGGATCCTTGTTGAGGGCCCGCAACGCACACACCACGCTTCACACGCCAAAGAGGTGTATATTTTATTCCCGGGGATCACAGTGCCCCTGCGAACAAGTTTTGGACAGATTTGATGTCTCGAGGTGCTTTGGGGTCGGCGCCTGTGGCACGGTCGCCATGCACTTTCGAGCTAAACGGATGCGTGGTTCGAGTTCAGACTACCCCCAGGGTGCGAATTCTAGCTAAACTTGAACGGGAAAACCCCCGAGCATTTCTACCCAGCATTTTGAAGAAAAAAAAGCAGTGACGCTCAGACAGTGCCAGATTCTTTTATCACATGAAGATCGTTGAAGATTGGAAGCAAACCTCTGTGAATTCGTTCATTTGAAGTATGATGTTGAATGGGTGGTTGTCATCCTCGTCAGGTTCTCGAGAGTCATTTACACCTGAAATGATTTCATAATGATTCTTAACTGTCGCAGAGTGAGCCGCTATGACTCTTGTGATTCTAGGAAGTTCTCCCATTTCAAAAGATCACATCATCCTTTTGTGCATGTCCCAAAACGCCTCCCAAACTTTTAAAGTTAGTGGTTCGTTCTGGTGCTCCCTTGAAGAAATAGCGCTAGAACGAGGTTTGGTTTGTGCGGAACAAACCTCATCAGTCAACCTCAAAAGCTATTGTAGACCTGGGACCCTTATGAGATAGCATTTAGCCCTAAGTACTACGCACTACACACCTTCGTTGCCACAACATACACACTGTGTGGGATTTCCAGTAGTATGCAAACACTTAAACCATTCTAACAATAAGATAAGAGCTGAGATGGGGCCTAATAGGTGAATGAAAATACGTAGGAATGAGCTGACGATTTCTTAACTAATTCATTTTTTCGAGTATTATTATTTCACAGAGTAGTGGTGGTATAGTATAGTGTCAAGTGGAGTCAAGATCGCATGTGGTCTGGGACTGGATCCCGGAAGAGACCCACATCGGCCCTTTCTGCCCTCCACCCGAACGGCAAATAAGTGTCATCTAATTCAACTGGGATTACCAAAACACTGGATTGCATATTATAAATGAAAATAGATAGGGTAGCGATGAGTTTACGTTTTTTTAAAGCTTGCCCTGATTGCCACCAGAACCCGCCGCTCTAATTAGTTCCATTACACGTACCACTTTAGTTCGGCTAGTCGTTCGGACGGTTGGGCGGTGTCAGCGCACGCTATGATGTGCACGCAGGCGTCAAGCGCCGTTCTCGGTGCCTTCCTGTTGAAACGGGAAACGTCGCGATGCCACAAAAAGGTGGTAAGAGAACCGAGGGATTGACAGACCAATATGACACAGTACTGGTTCACGAGACCGCCCGCTTCAGACGGAGCTGGTGGGTACGAGTTTGGCAGACCGGGTGGCGCCAACGCAGCGAGCTTGGACAGCGCGTCAGGCCCTCCCCCGGGGCAGCCGAAGCTACACGCAGTATTGGATAGCCGTATGAACGCAGCTGGATATCATTAAAAATGAACATGTGATTAAGACCCCTAGGAATAGCAATACCGTTTGACATCCACCAACGGGACTACCCCCGTCTCACTTATACCATGTTCTGCCTTAAACCCAGATAGCAGCAACGTAACCCAAACAACAAGTTCTATTACATATATTCTACACATAACTACCTTAATTATATACCTGAATGGCTCAACCCAATGGCGTCAATATCGGACTGACGGCTTGGATGTGGATCACCGGGTAAAGGAGGCATCACCTCCTCGGTCTCGCTACCTGAAAAACACTGCTTTGAAACGAGCATGACAAGATTGCTTATTCTGCTAGGTAGAAACAAAGCATTTTTCGGGCAACGCCAATCGTAAAATCTGGGCTAACTGCAACATGAGACAAAAGCTTGGATGTCGCAACAAAAAAGTCATGTGGTTCCTGGATGAAACTTAGTGAAAAACTTGAAGGAAGCGCTAGAAACTCGTCATAATGCGCTAAGCTCACTGGTGTAAAAGATTACACTGAACTTATGAACACATGCTATTTACCAGTACAGAATTGAAAACGATGATAAATCAAGCTCGCCACAATGCGATGGATCACAGCGGTATCGCCCATGCTCCACCCTTAGTTGAGAACAGTTGTCCGTGCTACCCGTACTCTTGAATAGGTTATTTCCGTGAAGGGGTGAGGGCTTGTGGCTACACCTGGCCAGGCCGAACCGTAGAGAATTCAGGTTACTCGATTTCGTACTGCAATTTTGATGACTCATATCATAACAATAATCAATAGTGGATCTTTATCCAAAGAATTTGAAATGGGTTCCTGAATAAGTAGTTTAACTCCCGTTCGCACGCGCCCGAGTTTTCCAGAAGAGGTCAAGTTCTCGAATGAAACGCGGCGCCTAGCTCAATATAGGTAGCAAGTTTTGTGGAAAGTACAAAGGTTTTCAAAAACATTAAAAACGTTTTCTTCAATTATAAGCGATCCGGAAAAACCTTTCAGCTCAACCACGAGGGAAAAGAGTTCAGGGTGGAGGAAAAAGGTCACCTTCCGCGGCATTCCTTTTTCTCGCTATGCTCGAAGTAAAATACTTATTCCCTGGCTCACGATTGCTTCTTTCTGACCTTCTGCTTTACATGTCGCTCAGCATGAAGAAAAATAAAGCAAATGTCGTGGAAGTGAAACTTACAGCAGTGCCTGACTTCAAACAATTCCCTGTGTAAAATTGGGAGTATCGTAATCGAAGCCGTGTTTTGACGAACTATTGCACCAAAATGCCCACCTGCATTTGACAAATCATGAAGCGCTCAACTTTCAGCACCAGTTATTCTGTCTCGGAAAAAGCAGAATTGGCAAGGCACTGTCCCATATTTTGCCCATGTTGTTCCCGAATTTTAGCCTCTGAGCAAAGGTCCTGACGTGTCCAAACGTAAGGCAGAACCCATACATCGCATAGGAAACGTAGAGGGGAAGAGGTTGTTACACGAAGTCACAACCAGCAAAAGTTCCTCAGCGAGAAAGCCTTCGGGAATCAACGACTCGTAGGAGGCCCCAGAAAGGAAATAAAGCAGCAGACCCATGAAGCTTTCTCATTGGGCGAGCATTGCTGGAAGACTCGTTTGTGAGGGAGGAAGCATGGTCCACGATGTGAACCCTGACTGCGCCACATCAAATAGTCCCCTGCAATTAGGGCAAATCCTTCCAACCGATGAGAAATTTTCAGACTGCGACCTCTTCCAGTATCGTCGGACAAGTGGGACTTAGGCGGAGGTAGCAGACTAGCAGACACCCGAACAACCATCAGCCACTGTCTTGTTCCCCTACGGATGTTGGAATATTCAGTGTGATGGGTAGGGGGGGGTGTATCTTTGGCAGAGCGCCAGCCTGTTCTTCACCAATTGCTGCAGGGGGGAAGCAACAACAACAACAACAACAACAACTGTTGAAAACTGGGCTGGCGCCGCGCCAAACCCACCTACCTCTTAAACCCTAGCGTCCGCAGCGAAGCAAGAGGGTATAGGGCGAAGGGAGACCAAAGTCTCATTGCCTTAAATACGTCCCTTTCTAAAGCCATAGACCAAAATGCGACCCTTACCCAGTTGGTAATACCCCAACAATGATGTGCTCAAATTACAATGCCATTGAAGCTTTGAGAGGATAAAAGATCAGAAGTGTGGACCAAGCTTTTATCCTCGGATACTTGACCCATAGTTCTAAGGGGGATGTCAACCACACCTGCTCTGTTCTTTCTCTTTCCGTCATTTCTGTTTGCATAACTCGGAGCGTAATGAAACTGAACTTATCTCATAGTCAGCTTTCACAACCACGCATCGTTTGGGTTGAACGTCTTCAAATAAACCTAATATTTCTAAGGACTCCCTTAGTATCGTTGAAATTCATGACAGAGGTGTGCAAGCTATTGTGACCAGGGCACGTCTTACGGATCCCTAGTAGGGTGTCATATTTGGTCGCTGGAAGGAGGTTGTTACCTATGTCCGGTTTTTCCTGTTTCAAGCATTCTCCCCACCGCCAACCCGCCTTCCCCCCCCCCAACCCGCCCTCCCCCCCACACCTTGCAAGGCAGTTTTATGGGGAAGAATAGGAGAACTTCTGGAAGAACTCCGGGAAGGTGGTGTGAAGCTAGGCGAATATAGGAAAACGGTAGTTAGGATCGGCAGGGGGTCGTAATAGAAGATGATATTCCGAGGCAGAGCGGTTTTCACAAAAATTCCTCCCGACACCCCCTGGTCACCATGTCGTGCGACCAAGAAAACGCCCCATTAAACCCTTTTCAAGTTTGTGCAATGATTATGCCAGCGTTGGTCATATTCTCAGCAATTTGCCGACAGATAGACAGTATCCGCATAAAGGAGACAGCTAACTGTAGGTAGAAATGGCACATACACGACCTACCACTTTGGGTATATTATTCTCAAGGGATAGCTGGCGCAGCTGCTCCTCGAGAGTAGAACGAGACAGCTTGCACTCTGTCTCTAGCTCTCTGCGCGAAGGGCTCGAGCACAGGTGCGAAGGGCATTTCCCAGCTGATGCTCTCATCAGGCGGGAAAAAAGACGATTGAATAGTTTTTGGAAAATTGTTCCGCTTTTTTTACAAGAGCGCAATGCAGTTGGGAGGGAAATCACTGAGCTACCCCTCTGTGCCGTTCCCTAATCAAAGCTCACTTGTCATTTTCAATGATTTTTGACAGGCTTATTGGGAACTATGTATGTCTTCTCAGCGCTGCTATTCCTGTGGTGGTCTGTGCTCCGGGATTAGTCAGCCCAGCTTTTCATCAACACGGTGGTTTGGCTGGCGTTTGTTCCAAATCCGATCTTTGCAAACGTGGGATTGGAATGTTTCAAAGGCAGCCTTTTGCACCAATGATGCCATCCTTGGTCCGTAGCTATTGGTGGAAAGGCTGCTTCGGTTGCCATGCAACCCACACGAACTCTAACTTGCAGGGATCATAACTATGCAGTCAGTGCAACGGTGAGCAGAATTGCTTCTTCCCGCGTGGGTATCATAGCTCGGGAACTCACCGTTCGTCACCTCCCCTTAGGACATTTGACTTGTGGAACTTCGTTGCTCCTCATAGATGGAACAATCACTCTATTTATCTGCGACATAATCTGCCCTTCGAGGAGGTAAGTGGAAGTCGCAGCAGCAGAGTACTTACATTTCAGATCGAACTGGCCATTGAATGAGAGTCCCCGCGGACCATATTTACTAGCCTGATGTGGTGGCCATCCTCGTCGACTTGTTAGCGATGTCTCGTAGCACCTAGCAGCTTTTTTCATGGGCATTTCTCACTGGATGTTATGAAGGACTGCCTGAGTGGAGCTGGGTCGGACCAGGTGCACCGAGCTTCACCTTGGGGAAAGTGTCCAATGATAATTTCTAGTATTACCATAGCCTAAGGCAGGAAGGGAGCTTCATCTCACTCTATCAAAAAAGGTAGGGCAATGACTAAAATGAGCAACTGATTTGAATCATCTCAGCATTTGGAAGGAGAATGCCTCTTTCGCAGCCCGTATTCATCTTGCGTCACCCGCATTAGCCATCAACGTTTCATGCAAATGATTCTTTTTGAAATGCTAACACATTCCATCCGACGTCAGAAAGGCTTTTTCGACGATTTTACGTGGCCACATCGATTTTCTATGGTGGCAGTTAAAGACTGGAGGGATTTCCAGCTTTAGTAAACGTTATCTCCTATCACCTGCCCTCACGCACCCACAAAGGCATTTCGAGGAAAAGAGTAGTCAGCAGGCAAAATGTAGACAGGAAAGTTCACAAACCGACGGGTATAGCGTTACGTTGCGACTACGTGGCGCTGCGAGTGGTGTCACGTGTGTTCACTCGAGGATGTTAATCATTTATCAGCAAAGGCCTGTAGTATCAGCTAGCTACAAAATACATTGGTAGTCCCGGCGTATCATCGCAATGTGGGTCTCTGGAACTCTACCTAGAAGCCGACACCAGGTTGGTAGTTCATATGAGAGTGATTCTCAACAGACATTAGGCAGTAGTTCTCAAAAAAGCTTCAATGTTTTGCTTCCGACTGCTAGCTGCCTTCCGACGTAACCCGTTACGTGGACGAGGAAAGCTCCACGGCCAAAGTCATGATTCATTATCGGCCGTCTTATTATGAACAGTTGAGGCTAAACATAAGACATAGTGTACCAAACCAAAACTCCGATAAGTCAGCATAAGGCACCAGATGAAAGCTGCGGAAGTGGTGAATGTAGAGGATAGTCAGCGCAGAAACGCATATAAGCCCATAGATGTCTGAACAGAGGCTTCGTGTACCAGTTCAGTAGGTCCGCCAACATTTGTTGAGATCCAACTCCAAAAAAGGTTGGACTCGAGCTTATGCAATAGAACTAGTAACTATAACTTCGCACCGATGCAGCCTAAACATTGCACCTTCCACCATCTAGCTCCCTTTCGACCTAACCCGTTACACGGACGGGAAAGGCTTCACGACCCGAGCTCAAGTCAAAATCGAGATAACGTCCAACTCAGCGTCGCGCAGGCCTGCATTGTGAAGCGGTGGCATACCCGAGTTGCTCGAAAACTGACTTCGCGATAACAATGCCGTATACTTCTGATCTTATACGTCTCTCTACAAAAAAAGCCTATTTCCAAAAAAAATGTGGCAGAAAGTCGCCCGCCAACCTGATAGAGTAGTCTGTATTCAAGAGTGCGGCGCACGTACACACGAAGTCTCTGGGATGTGGTAGGCCTGGCTGCATACTTCA